TCTCTCTCTGCCTGCTTGTGATCTCTGTCAAATAAATAAATAAATAAAATCTTTAAAAAAAAACAAGTTACCTTTTTTGTTTTCTTTGGGGAAAGGTCTTTATTCTACCCTCACAACTGATAGTATTGGCTATCAAAGTCTAGCTTGGAGGGCGCCTGGGTGGCTCAGTGGGTTAAAGCCTCTACCTTCGGCTTAGGTCATGATCCCAGAGTCCTGTGATCGAGCTCTGCATCGGGCTCTCTGCTTAGCGGTGAGCCTGCTCCCCCATCTCTCTCTCTGCCTTTCTCTCTGCCTACTTGTGATCTCTGTCTGTCAAATAAATAAATAAATAAAATCTTTAAAATAAAAGTCTAGCTTGGAAATAATTTTCTCTTAAACATTTGAAAATGTTGTTGATTGTCTTCCAGATTTGAGGTCCATTCTGACTCCTAAACCTTTAATGTGACCCCTTTGTTTGCATGTTTTTTCCCCCCCATGGAAGTTTTCAGGATCTTCCCCACAATACTGAAATTTCAGATGTGCCTCCATGTAGGTTTAATTCATCCACTGAGATGGTATTCAGTGAGCTTTTCCAGTCAAGAACGTGATTTCTATCAGTTTGGGGGAATTTTCTGGAATTAGGTTTCTGCTGTATTTTTGTTAAATTTTCTCAGATAAGTACTCAGCTTTTTATTCCAGTCTTTCTACTGATCTTTGCTTCCTGTTACACTTTTTAGTTCACAAGAGCTTGTAGTACTGTTTTATGGTGTGTGTGTGTGTGTGTGTGTTTTAAATAGCATCCAGTTCTTATTTCATGGATTCAGTGTCTTCTCTCTGATGATATTATTGATTTTTAAACATGTTTTATTCTTCCTGGGGCACCTGCATGGCTCAGTTGCTGAAGTGTCTGCCTTTGGCTTGGGTCATAGTCTCAGGGTCCTGGAATTGAGCCCATGTCAGGCTCCCTGCTCAGTGGGGGGTCAGCTTCTCCCTCACTCCCTGTCCCTCCCCCTGTTCATGCTCTCGCTTTGTCTCAAATAAAAAAATCTTAAACAAATATTTTAGTTTTCCTGGATTCTGTCTTCCAGCTTTCTTTATCTTTGCTTTGTTTTAGTCTTTTGGTCCTTCTATTTATTTATTTATTTATGAGAAAGAGAGAGAGAGAGAGAGAGAGAGGAGAGAGAGGAAGGAGGGAGAGAGAGAGAATTCCAAGCAGACTATGTGCTGAACACAGAGCCCAACATGGAGCTCAGTCCCACAACCCTGAGATCATGACCTGAACTGAAACCAAGAGTCAGACACTTAACCTACTGAGCCACCAAGGTGTCCCTGGTCTGATATTAAAGATATTCCTCAACACTCTGGCGATTCTTGGTTTTCCATTTATATTCAAGAATGAGACATTAAACTGTAGATGGATCTTGCTGATTTACTATAGGATAATTTGGCAAGACCTTTTTACTGGAGGATCTCCAGCCATTACTTTTAGAATTTTTAGGATTTTTCTCTTCACTTGGTCATTTCTCCAAAGAAGAATCTTTCAGCTTTTGCCTAGGGACTAATAAACCTAGTGGTACGCCAGCGTTCTTGGGGCTGTTAAAAAAAGGGATTGGAGCTCAGTGCTCAAGTTGTAGACTTTTACTTCATCCCTTGCAAACTTTCACTTATATTTTTGGTACAGATACCTTGTCCTCAGCTCTCCCTGGTGACTCTGAGCCACAGCCCACCTGGTTTACCCTTTCTAAACAAGAAGTCCTCTGCTAGGCTTGGGTAGGGAGAATCACCCAGATGTGGCGGAATGGAGATATCTGCCTCTTACTGCTTACAGTCCCACTTTCAGCACTTCTTTGAATTACCTAATTCTGCTAATTCCGAATCCTTTTAGCATTCTACCACCACAGTCCTCATCCCTTTCTACAATTTATAGGTGAAAATATTTCCATTGTTCATTTGCCTTCTTCCGGTTACCAGTGAAGATGAGTATTGTTAAATATTTATAAACAATCTGTATTTCCTTTTTTAAGCTGCTTATTTGTATCTTTTGACCATTTTTTCAAGATTTTTTTCCTCCAGCTGCCCCAGTTGTTTTTCTAAAAGGAAAATAAGAGTTGTACTATAGCAGTGTTTATGAAAGTACATTGTTGCCTTTGACCATGAATTTAGTATTATCTATTAATTTTTCTATGTGGGGGCGCCTGGGTGGCTCAGTGGGTTAAGCCTCTGCCTTCAGCTCAGGTCATGATCTCAGGGTCCTGGGATCGAGCCCCGCATTGTGCTCTCTGTTCAGCAGGGAGCCTGCTTCCCTTCCTCTCTCTCTGCCTGCCTCTCTGCCTACTTGTGATCTCTCTCTGTCAAGTAAATTAAATTAAAAAAAAATTTTTTTAAATTTTATATGTGTAACTTAAAAATAATTGTAGTAGAGCACTGTTAGGGTTTAATGATCAACTCACTTATTTTCATAACTTTATATGAATGTCTTTTAATCTTTACCTAAAATATTTGCAAGTAGGTTTAGATGAAGAAAACATCTGTCCCATACACAGAATAGGACTGGCTAGAAGCAATTTTACCAGAATATTCTTGGGGGGTGCAAGTGATTTTTAGGAAATGTTTTAAACACACTAATCTATCATCTTAACCAATGGCTGTTTAAAGCTCAGAGTTGTGCAAACATTAGACAATCCATTTGAAAACATTTCTATTACCCTAAAAAATTCCCTCTTGCTTGTTGGCAATTGATCCCTATTCCTGCCAATAGTCTACTTTTTCTGTCTTTAGTGATTTGTACTTTCTGGAGAGTTTATATAAATGGAGTCATATTATATGTGGCCTTTGCTGTCTGGCAAAATGGTTTCAGAGTTCATCTATGTTGTAATACAATTCAGTACTTCATTCCCTTATTGCTGTGTATCATTCCAGTGTGTGGACATCCACATTTTGCTTATCTGCTCATCAATTGATTGATATTTGTGTTTTATTTTCCAAATGTAGTTTTCCTTTAAAGTTAGGTCCATAATGCATCTTGAGTTGTTTTTTGTGCATAGTTAAGAAGTAAGGATTCAACTTCATTTTCAGGTAGGTATCCAGTTGTCTCTGCACTATTTGTTGCAAAAGACTATGTTTTCCCCCACTGAATTGCCTTATGCAATTCAAAATGAAATTCATCAAAAATGAATTGACCATAAATATAGGGTTTTATTTCTGGACTTTCTGTTCCATTGATCTCTATGGCTATCCTACGCTAGTATTACACCATCTTGATTAATGTGGCTTTGTAGTAAGTTTTAAAATTGTGTTGTGTAATTCTTGCAATTTATTATTCTTTTTCAAGATTGCTTTGCTATTCTGGGTCCGTTCCATGTAAATTTTAAAGCTTTTCTATTTCTATAAAAATAGCTTGCTGGAATTTTCATGGGGGTTACAGTGAATTAGTAAATCAGCCTGTGAGGGATTGCCATCTTACCACTATGGAGTCTTTGAATCCATGAACATGGGATTCCTCTTCATTTCTTTAGATCTTAATTTCTCTTAGCAATGTTTTGTATGTTTTGGTGTACAGGTCTTATACTCCATTTGGTAGGTTTATTTCTAAGCGTTTTAATTCTTTTAGATGCTGTTGTGAATGGAATTGTTTTCGTAATTTCATTTTCATATTGCTTAGTACAGTTCATTTTAATCTCAAAATGTATATGGTATATTTCCCCCAAATATTGACTATTCCTGGCATTTATCTTCTAGTATGGTATATAATTTCATAGGCCTACAGGAACCAGTCCCTAATACATATCTTCAGAACTGAACTCTGGGCAGTTAAATTTTAGGAGCAGTTTTTGCCCTCAAGTAATGAAACTCCTAAAAAATGTAAAGTATGTTAATATAGAAATAGTCCTGAGAATTTAATTTGAAGACATGACAAAATATTTATAGAAAGCTCTCTTAATAATGCTGGCTTGTGTTTCTCAACATTTCATTGATTTTTAAAATTTTTTATAAATGTATTCCTTAATACATTTTCAATCAGCAAATTAAGTAGATTTTGCTTATGTTGACAATTCTGGCCTCAAGTTAATGGTTTGTTATAGTGCTCATTGTGCCTCTGTCACACTGAAAAATGTTATTCAGTGGTTAAAAAAAATTGCACCCTGCAGTTATTAGAAAAAAAAAGGAGATCTATTTTGGCAGGCTCAATGTACACTGTTTTTCTAGTCTTTCAGTATACAACCATCATTTAAAATACTTGTTCTTAATGTGTAATCTTGCAAAATGTCTGTATGTCATAAGATAGAATGATGTATTCTTATACTCTTATACTTTAAAACTGAATAACATTGGGGCTTTTCCAACTGGCTGAAGAAAACTGAAGTATGTTGTTTCAAATTTTTCGTGTTTCTCTTGTGAAGTTTTTTTTTTTTTTAATCTTTGGCACCAGCTATTGCTTATTGACTAATAAGCATTAATGAACACTAAAACAAATGATCAACTGCACATTAATAGAAAAATCTAGATTATCATGCTTACTTTGACAGCTTATTTTTACTATAGAATATTGCTGTTTTATATGGTAAAATTAATGGCATTTTGTGTTGCTCTGCTCCCGAGCAAATTGAGGACCACCAAGTTAAATAAACCATTAGAAAGGAACAGAAATGTGAATATACTATGTGTACTAATTTGCTTATAGACAGCAAAGACCTCTACCAGAATCTATACCCTCAATTTAATGACTACCTTGTATAGCACTTTTAAGCTGTAATGAGTAAAAAGCAGTTTTCACTTCTCTTCAACAAAACATAAATGTCAAGTACACAGTTATTTACCAGAAAATTAGAGCAAATCAAGAACAATCTCATCCACTGTTTTCATAGTTTCTAAACAGATTGTTTTTTCCTGTATATTCTGATAGTTAAAACTATTAAATAAAACTGATGTTTTATAAGTCATGTAGAAGTGAGAATGTAAGCTATTCTGTTCCTTGGACATTTTGACCTTGAATTAATGATGCATGACTTTTCCTCCTGTAGGCATGCTGCAGAAGAAGGTAGAAGAAGTAACACGGGTTTTTGAGGATCATTGTCGTGCGGAGCAAGAACACAATATCAGAATTGCTTTTGATTGAACGACCATTTATTCAGCATGCTGTTTTGGGATTATACATTATCTACAAGTTGTTATGATGTGAAATAGAGTAGTATTCACAATTAACTACTTAGTGTTTGGTTGCAATGAAGTTTTCTTGTGGTTGGTTTGATTTTTTTTTTCATTTAAATATTGTGCTGTTGAGAATTATACTGTAGTTTGGCTTTTAGTAGTAGCAAATCGTGACTGTATTAGCCCTCTTGGCTCTAGGCAGTAACCTATTACATGTTGACTCCGTGTGTGTAATTTGTATCTTAAACTCTCCTAGATCGCATATTCTACCAGCAGCACACATTGTCCTTCTTCCTCTAACTGAATCATCGAGAAATGTTTGCCAAGAAATAGATTCCAGCTAGTCTTTACTGGGTGCCTGCTTTCAACATGTAGTGTACTGTAGTCTTTTTCCTCAAAGGAACTTACTGTCTAGTTTGAGATATAATTAATGCCTGTCTGTATGAAAACAGTATAGATAATACAAAGAAGTGTGTTATAAAGTATAGAAAATGTGAGAAATTCGGAGAAGAAGAAACATTAGAGTAGATTTAGTTCTTGAATTAGGTTATGTTTAAAAGGGTAAGGTTCATGCAATTCATATATTTTTGATGTACAGATAGTCTGGTATTTTATTTGGTTTTAGCATGTAGTTGCTGGCTTTTGGATATTTGTTTTTCATGAAAAAACCTTGTTCTTAGCTTGGGAACAGTCTGATCTCTTGTGTTACATGTTTTACCTGTCATAAATAAAGGTAATATTCTAAAAAATAAACGTATAACATGAAAGCAAACTTACTTAAAAGTTCTTGAGTGACTAGAGCTTAGTAGACTATAATTACTGAGCTAAATTTCTGTAATACTGACTGTACATGAGCAGGGGGGTCCTGAACATATTACAGGAAGAAAATATCTTTGAAATGAGTACTAGTGATTTTCACTACCTCATAAGTAAACTAAATATCAACTTACATGGCCTTTTTATTCCTACCCAAACTTCTCAAAGTAGCAGCTTATCAGGTAAGCTTTTGTTACCACTCAAAACTTTAGAATATGAAAATAATCCAGAGACCATTTAATTTTGTGGATGATTTCTGTAGGCAAAGAGCTTTTGGCTATAATTTTGAGTAATCTCCAGTTTTTGAGCCTAGTGTTATTTCTGTTATACCATAGATAAAGACATTTTCCTTATTGTTTTTGTAGATTTAACTCTTATAAAGTAGTTGGTGTATGAATTAAGTTCTATACTCAGTAAAAGGTACATAGTATATTAGTGGAAACACCGGATTTAGTCTTGTCCCTATTTAATTAACTGGACAAATAATTTCATTTTGGGTATCATCTTTCATCTCTCCCATGAAAGCATTTAACCATATGAACAAGGTCTTTCCAAGTAAAAGAAATGAGTTTTCATTTCTCTGAAGTTTTGTGATTCCTTTATGTCCTTTCACAAATGATACATGCTTACTCTAAAGTTCCTCAGTGAAATGAGGGGCTCAGGTATTCCTGCTGGATTTGTACGGGGAGTTCTAGGGTTTTTTTTTCCCCCCCAGAGCTGGAAAAACGGTGGGTAGAGAGTGGCTTCCAGATCAATGCAGTTAACGATACAAGATTTACTGGCAGAATCTCAGTGTACTGGAATCTGGAGTCTTGGATTAATTCATCTCTAAGGTTCCTTCTGACTTGGATTCTAACGTGTGTCTAGAGAACATGACATTGTTGAACAAATATTAATTAAAAGATCGCAAATAACCCATTTTAAGGCAACATTTTTGTTAGGTACTGGAGTCTTGAGCCTCTTCTAACCATTATTCAAGACCAGCTAGGATTTAACTGAAGGAAAATTTCTTAAATTTGTCATGTTCTTAAATTTGACACTTGTAGACTTTTCTTTGTCCTTTGAAAAAGATGCTGTATTTATTTTCTCTATAACAGCATTTATGCTATCTCATTTGGGGTATTTGAAAGACATGCACAGTTGGTTTCTCTTAATATTGGATGAGTGACGCTAGCCCTCTTCTAGAGAAGAGTTTTGGTTTTAGCATCTTCTTCCATATCTGGAAATTATCATTGTTTCATAATGTATTCATCAGAAATGTGCTGCAAACAAAGCATCTGAAAAGGACAAACACTGAAAATATGTCTGTGTTAAGGAAGAACTTCTGGCTTAATTAAACGAACCTTATTAAATTGTCAGAAAGACAAATAAGGCATATTTGTCAGTTGTCATAAGTTCTTCTGAGATGAAATTGTGAAATTACCTCACGGTAAGATCTCTGTGCCAATGAATAACATCTACAACTCTCAAAGCTTTTTGTGAACTGTCTCAAAGCTTTTATACACTGTCTCCCTTTGAAAGCAGGGAAAGACATGCCGTGGGAAAAGAAATAGCTATTATTCCACAGTTAATACGTTTGGCAGAACTAGAAATAGCTGTTTTTCCTTCTAGTGCAATTTTCTGAATGTTTGTCCCTTGCTACCAACCACTGGGACTAGCTACAGTTATACACAGGTACAGAGAGTACTTCCTCATGACCTTGCTTTCGAGTTGCAGTTCCACCCTACATGTCTTTTTAGCCATTTATCCTCCACTCATCCCACCTAGATGGATTCCTAATGAAGTGTGTATCTCTTCTGTGCCAATAGGATGTATGTCTTATTCGAAGTTGTACACATGTCTGGTATAGTATTTGTTCCACCCTTTGCCACTTTCCCAGGGGACAAACACACCAGCAGCTTTGGCAGATTTTCCCATCTACTTATGGATTGATGCGTCCCTTGAACAGTTTGGTTGAGCAGCAGAATTCAGCCTCACCATCATACAGGATTTACCTGGTACAGGCTTTGGTATGACTCACACTTTGTGCACGCTTACATTCTTTCTGTGCTCTCTGCCGGAGCCACAAAATAGTACATGTTATACCAGCATTCATTCACCCGTGTCCTTCAAGAACATACTCACTGGCATATTACAGGTTTTGGATAACTCAGATACTTGCTGTGACCTTTTCAGTCTGTAAGAAGTTCTTAGGAAGTACGGTGTCTTCCAGGAGCTGCTCTTTGTCTTATCCTCTAACTTGAGCATGGGAGTACAGAAAGTTTGAACAAGTTCTACCAGATGACAGAATATTTGCTCGTAGATGACCACCTATCAAGTGACTTTAAAACCATACTTTTATGTAACACTTTATGATCACCCTATTCAGAGGTACTCTCCCAATTTTACAGATGAGGAAGCTGTCCTAGACCAGTTAAACTTACTGAAACTCACATAGTCTTATAACTTGCCAAAGCAAAAGATCAAGTCCAAACTGCCTACTATGTTCTCTCTAACTATGGGAACTGAGAAATCCAAACAGTGTGCCCCCCAAACACATGATCTTTTTTTTTTTATTCTTTGTGGTATAAGGAGGGTTCCCTTTAATTAAAAAAATGTTGACTAGGTAATAAATATAATCATATGATTCAAAAATCAAAGGTACAAAAAGTGAAGTTTTTCCCCACCCTTTTTGCTAATCATCCAGCTCCCCTACCTGGAAGCTTTCATTTATCACTGGACTCTATGTTTCCCCAGAGGAATTTGATGCATACACAAGCATATACATACATATAATCCCCCTCCTTTTTTTTACACAAATGGAAGCATACTACTGATACTGTTCTGTGCCTGGCTATTTCACTAAACGTAATTTAGATTGTTCAGTAGCAGCCCACAGCAAACTCTGTCATCTTTAGGACTGCTGCACAGTTTTACACTGAATGGATTTATTACATTTGTGGGTATTTTATGTTTGCAAAATTTGGTTATAAACAATGTTGCAGTGAATAACTTTACATGTAAAATACATATATACTTGTATATGTGTATGAAATATATACACATAAAATACATATGTACATAAATACATATTACACACACACACACACACACACACACACACACTTGACATATAGTATTGAGGATCCTATTCAGAGAGGTTGAATTTCTGTTTTAAAGGGAATGGGGATTTATGGTTTCAACTGTATCCTCACATTACCTTCCATAGAGGTTGTACCAATTTATGCTCCTACCAGCAGTGTGTAATGAGAGTGCTTATTTTCCCACAATCTCAACAAAAGTAATGTGCCCTCAAACTTCTGGACCTTTACTAATCTTGTAGGTGAAAATGTTATTTTAGTGTACTTTTAATAAATAAAATATTTTTAGAACAGTTTTAGATATATAAAAAGTTGTATAGTACAGAGTTCTGTATACCTCCACTCATTTAACCTCTAGTGTTAACATCTTTATAATTCTGGTATATTTGTCACATCTAATGAATGTTATAAACTAAAGTGCATAGTTTATTCATATTTTTTTAGTTTTTACCTAGGGCCCTTTTTCTGTTCTAGAGTCCCATGCAGGATATCACATTACATATCACATTACATATCACAAACCATCGTTTGGTTCCTTTCGCTGACACGTTCTCAGACTTTGCACGTTTTTGATAACCCGTACAGTTTTGAGGAGTACAGGTCATATATTTTATAGTCCTTGTACTTTAAAATTTCCATCGCACTTATTGAGATTAAACTTCTTTTCATATACTTAGGGACGTTTGTATTTCCATTTCTGGGAGCTCAGAGGTCATGGTCTTAACCACTATGTTATACCTCTCTCTTGATTCAACCTAATTTTCAACAAAACATTCATATGGATTTCTGATTCTCAGGGTAGGAAGTACAGCATCTCCTAAGCTTCTGTTACAGTTAGAGGAAAACCGTTAGTGCAGGTGATCTGGTCAAACTTGTGTCTGATCACGGACTACACTGCAGAGGATGGATCAGGGGCCCAGGTGGAAACAGCGGGTAGGCTTGATAATAAGTCCTTGAAAGCAGAAGCAGGGTTGTTAATAGGCATACATTGGAGGAAAAGTAGAGGAGCCAGGATTTGGCTATTTTGAATGAGACAGTCAAGAAGTCTCAGTTGACTCCTAGCTTTATGAGCTGGATATTTTGGGTGCTGCCGTTAACCCGTAGGAGAAATATTTAAACAACTTACAACACCTTACTCAGTAGAGTACGTACTCTCCGTTTCTTTAGCTCTGAGCGACTACAATTCCCAGAGCCCCGCACTCCACCACAATCCCCTTAGAGTCGGCCGCACAGAGTTCTGGGACTTGAAGTCCGCGGCCTATTCACCCAAGTTAGAGATAGGGGCCTGTGGAAACATGAAGAGGTAAGTGCTTGTCTGAGAGCAGGCGGGAAAGGGAGCTCTCATCTACCTTTTAACTTTGAAAATGGCTTTTATGACTTTGTGTTTGGGGTATGTCACGTTGTCGGGATGCGATTTCGTGTGAGCGGGAAGACAAAGGAGGAGGGAGGAGGGGAGAAGGGCTAGACAGGCCTGCGGAGCGAAGTTCAGGAAGGGCCTCCGTCGCCGGTTCCCGTAGGAATGCCTTGCCAGCACAGGCATCTAGGCCACGGCTCCCGCCCCGGGAGCTGCACGGATGCTGTGGCTTCTTACTACTTCAGACGGACCCACCCAGGTAAAAGGGTCTTGGCCGACGGATGCCCAGTGCCGGAGAAAGCCAGGCCAGCTCTTCCCCGTCCCGCCCTACCTCCATCTCATCCTCGGAAGGGCGCACGGTGGGGGCGGGGGGGGTGTCTTTTTTTTTTTTTTTTTTTTTTTTTGCAGTGTTTGTTTACTAAGGAAGACTTTCTCGGGCCCTGAGAGCATGTAGAGCTTTCAAATCTTAACCTAAACTACTGATACTTTGTTTCTAAAAATTTAGACGGAAAGTACAAAACAGGCT